CTTCTATGCCCGTCGGACTTGAAGAAGAAGAGGGAGAGAGGCCGGATTTTGTTGTAGAAATCAATCGAGTGCTGCACGCTTGAGAAACACTCAAGTGTGGGATAGCATTCTAGAAAAAAAAAGAAAAACTTTGCAACAAGCAGATTTTGGACATCATGCATGCCATGGTTAGATATCCTCGATCTTATTATATGCTAGTGGCATGACTACGGTACGTCAATAATTAACTAGAGTCAGTACTCCACATGGTTTAATGGTGGGCATTGACGCGCACTACAGCCCCACTAAACAAATCTACCCATCGTATTCGTATATAAGAAAGGGTAATAAAAAAAAGGCTTGTTGTGTCCCGTGCATGTATCTGGAGCAGTGTTTTCGAGTTTGATTGCTGTTAGGTGCGGTGCGAGTCTCCTTTGTCTTCTTTTGACTTGCTCGCCAGAGTGGGCTGCTGCGGCAGTTGGTGAGCAGCAAGAGCCCAGAAGAATCCTTAATAAACTTTTACACTAAAAATGAACTGCTAACCTAACTGCACTACTCGTACTGACAGAGAAGCCTACCTGCGCTGCACTCGAGCCGAACGAGAACGGCAGACGAGCCGTGTGCTCGGCTCGGGCGCTCGGCCGTGCAAGCCGCCGAGCCTGGACAATTGACGACGACGGCATCAACTGCTGTAACCACCACCATGGATGGAGATGGAGCGGAGGACACCTCGACCTACCCCGCTCACGAGCGTGCCAACCTGGACCACCGGGCCCCACCCTAAAGCGCCCGAACTGTCGCACGAGAGGCACCCGCACCCGGGACCGTTCGTTGCGCAGCCCCAGCCCCCAGGCTCACGCCGCCTCGCTGCAGGTGGGGCCAGCGTGTCGGGACGGTGGGCATGGCCACCCGATCCTGGCCCAGTGAGATCAGATCCATCGGGCTTGTGTGGGCCGCAAGCTGCTCTTGTCCACACACCGCACCACACTAGTTTTTTTTTCCCAAACCTAATAACCACAGCGCATACGGGAATCAGTGGGCACTCGGCAAAGCCCAAACAAAAGCTTTCTTGCTTGTTGTCCCGTGCATGTGTCTTTATCGGGACTTTCAATGTTTTGCCGAGTTTGATTGCTTTTTTGTCGTTAGGTTTCGGTGCGAGTCTCCTTTGAAACCGAAAAAACTTTTTACCCAAAAACATGGAATTTTTTTTTTTATCGATGAGGCTCGCCAGAGCGGCTGCATTTTTCAGCGGAATTTGGTGAGCAGATTCAAGAGACCCAGAAGAATCCTCCTCTAACTAAACTTTTACAGTTACCAATATATTATACTAATCAAAAATTGCATATTTGAGGGGCTCGAATTCAAATAAAAAGTTGTAAACTACTCGTTTCTGACAGTTTATGAAGTTTTTCCATCCGATGCGCTGCAAAATTTGAATTTTAAAATTTTGAAATTCAAACGATTTTTGCATGACAAGATGTTTTCAAATCAAAAGTTGTCAACTAGCATAACTTTTCGAGATCTCGGCTTATTTTGGTTGTTTTTTCATCCGAGGTCGTTTGAAAAGTTCAAATTTTAAAATTTTGAAATTCAAATGGACATGACAAGATGTTTTCAAATCAAAAAGTTATCAATTATAAAGTTTCATAATTTTCGAGATCTACAAAGTTTATTTTTGTTGTTTGGTCATCTGTTCATCCATGGAACATTGTTCACAGATCTTATATATCTCTCTTGTAGTTTCATAAACTCGACATATATATTAGATTTATGAACAAATTTATTTTCACTTTGTCTGGACAAAACAAACATTGTACATCTTGATGAGTTATACAACCTTTTAGTTGAAAACTTTTTCATTTGAATTAATTCTATCGCTTCAAAATATGCTTTGAAATTTTCTAACTTTCTATGTCGAAAGTGTCTTTGCACGAGAGGCACCCGCACCCTTTGGGTGTCACTCGGCAAAGAAGTTTTTTTGCCAAGTGTAAATTGCATGTTTGAGGCCCTAAACGAATTCAAATAAAAAGTTGTAAACTACAAAGTTTCATAACTTTTCGAGATCTACACTTTTAGTTTAGGAAGTTTTCCCATCCGAGGTCGTTTACAAAATTTGAATTTTAAAATTTTGAAATTCAAACGCCTTTTGCATGACAAGATGATTTCAAATCAAAAAGTTGTCAACTACAAAGTTTCATAACTTTTCGAGATCTACAAAGTTTATTTTGGTTGTTTGATCATCTATTCATCCGACGTGAATCGTTTAACATTGTTCACAAATCTTATATATCTCTTTGCCTGGCCCAAGAGAGATCAGATCAATTTTACTTTCACTTTGTCATATGTGGGATGAGTTATACAACTTTGTAGTTGAATTTTTTTCATTTAAATTAATTTATCGCTTCAAAATATGCTTTGAAATTTTCTTTGTCGAGTGTCAAAAAATAACACTTTCAAAAAGAGGCTCCACAGTACACTCGACAAAGGCAGCTTTTTCCCCCCGAAAAACAACACTCGGCAAACCACAGCGCAGATGATGATGACACAATTACGCTTACTCACTCACCTATGTAAACACACATGCTGATCGTTTTTTTAAAAAAAAACAGAACACATGCTGATGCAAACACCGTATATCTATGAACACGTCCGAAAATAAGATTAGCGTGTCAACAATTTAGATCGGTAGAGATCAGGGACGAATCCAGCCATGAAGTTCACCAGGATGGATTGTGATAAACAGTAATTCTCCACTAATTTTGCCGAAGTCATCGGGGTCAGGCGACCCCGGTAACGTAGGCTAGATTCGCCCTGGTAGAGATTTGCTTTGGTTTATCAAAACCTTGCTTTTTGGTCCTACCACGTGCAATGCACGCCAACACATGGTTTGACCTTCGGAATGGATCACGGTGCTAGATTATTATAATATATACTCTTTTCGTCCCAAAATATTATATCAACTCTACCCTGCATGTTTTCTCTATTTGCTCAATCCCCATTCACTTGGCTGCATGCAAGCGCCCAAATTATAGTTGCATGCACAATTAACTAAGCCAATTACCCATGTGACAACTATTCTTTCTATAAAACATGAGTAATTTGAGTTCCACACTGATTTTTTCTAAAATGTTCAAAAATATAGGAAATTTATAAGAGCTACTCATACCATTTTTAAATCTTTAGATAGAGTTACTCATACCATTTTTAAATGCTCAATGTTCATGCCCACAACCAATCGGCTCAGTTTTTTTTGAGGTGCTCATAGGGTAGGTTGTATGCGCGTGCATTTATATTGGTGAGTGTATGTGCATGTATGAGTGTGTAATTAAAATAAATCTAAGAACAAAGTAGTTGCAGCTCTAAGGACCGATTCGATGCCTAGAGGCGGATGATTGAATAGAGCCCAATACAAGTTTGTGAAAAAACAACAATAAAAAATAGCAAATAAGAAAAGCTTAAAACTGGCATGTGTTGGTTTTATATTGGTTGGTCTAGGAAACCAGCCTAGGGCATTTTTTCCTATTTGGTCCAAACATCTCTATACCGGTCCAGGCCAGTTTTTTCCTACAACCTATAAAAATAAGGTATTTTTGTTCTTTTTCCTCCCCCACTTCAATCCAAGGCGTTGCGTAGTCTCTTGGGTGTTTTTCAACTTATGTAAAGTGCTCTTACACCCACACACACACAACCGAGTTTCAAATCCGATGAACGGTGGACCAAGGAACATTACTCTATTTTTTCCAATACACGGTCAAACGAAGAAAGTGATTTTATTTTGAAATACAAGGGTCGGTGGTGGACCTGATCGATGGCCAAATCCGCGGCCCCTCTCTATCCACATGAATTATATTCGCATCTATATTTTCGCAACAGCCGCAACCATTTGTGTGCCATTGCAACCTTTGACTGTTGCACAGTTTCGGCCCAGCCTAGACTACCTTGGACCTGGATTACATTGTTGGGCTACAAAAGGAAGGCATGGAGCCCAACGAAAGGAGAGTTTAAAAAAAAACATAAGCTTCAAAATCGCCTCTGGAGTCCAATGATAGGAGAGTTTTTTATTTAAAGAAATATAATAATCTTCTTAAGAGCTTGTCCGATTAGCTTCAGTCCGCGGCGATTGAGGGAGATTTTGGCGCTCGCAAGTTAAATTTTTTTTCCAATCCACTCGGATTATTTAAACTAAAATTACATCTAATTGGACAGACCATAACAAGCGGGGTGGTGGCGCAGTTGGCTAGCGCGTAGGTCTCATAGCTAAAGCGAGTGATCCTGAGGTCGAGAGTTCGAGCCTCTCTCACCCCATTTTTTTTCTTGAGTTTTCTACTTTCTTTTTTGTGTCTTCTCCTTTCTCTTTCCTTTTTTTCTACACTTTTCTATTTTCTTTTTTGTGCCTTCTCCATTCTCTTTCTGCATACATCTTTAGTTTTTTTATGCATTTTTCCTTCTTTTTTCTTGAGTTTTCCGTTCTTTTTTTAGTGCCTTCTAGTTCTCAATTGTGTTTCTACATACATCTTTAGTTTTCTCTGCATTTTCGATTGTGCACCTCGACAAGCTGCTGCTTCTCCTTCTTGCCACTTAATTTTTAATTCTATTTTCCCCTTCGATATGCATTTCAAAACCTTTAAGTCACTCCGCCACAAGCAAGAGGAATGTGAATCCTATTCTCCCTCACCCACACGTCTCCTCGAATCGAATTCGAATAAACTAAAGCAAGCAGAAGCAGCCATGGCACAGCACAACCGAAAGGAAGGAGAAAACCCACGAATACCTTTGCCAGCAATCTAGAAAAACAATGTTCGTCAGCACCTGGGTGTATGAGAGGATGAGACACCTACGCTACGCCCTACCCGTCACCTGGCACTTGTCACGCACCTGAGCCTTGGCCATCCGCTGCTCTCTAGCTCGTCGTAGGCCCGTAGCTGCTCTCCGCTAGCTGTCTCCCACGTGTGCGTGCGTCTGGTGTGACTGACACGTCGCCCGCGCGCCGTCGAGGGATCGGACGCCGCCGCCCAGGCCGCATGGCGAGCGCGCGGCCGTCGCAGGCGCAGCGCACGACGTGGTGCGCCGGCTGCGGCGCGTACCTGTCCGTGGCCCCCGGGGCGCGCTCCGTGCGGTGCGGGCTCTGCCACGCCGTCACGCGCGTGGAGCGCCGCCCGCACGCCGCCGTGGGCTTCATCAAGGGCCTCATCAACGCCTTCACGTCGCCGCAGCAGGCTCCGTCGGGGCCCGGGGCGGCGCTCCAGGGGCCGCCGGCGAGCTGGGGCTTCCCGCGCGTCCGCGGCTGCAAGAAGCGCGCGCTGCTGGTGGGGATCAGCTACGCCGCCACCAAGTACGAGCTCAGGGGCGCCGTCAACGACGTCAACTGCATGAGCTACCTGCTCCGCGAGCGCTTCGGCTTCCCCGCGGACTGCATCCTCGTGCTCACGCGTAAATATAATACAGTCTTGGCGTCTCATCTTTTCTAGTGTTTTTTGCTTGGCATGATTACTATTATTAACAACTGTCCATCGGCTGCAGAGGAGGACAAGGACCCTGGTCGGGTGCCGACGCGGGCGAACCTGATGCGCGCGCTGCGGTGGCTGGTGGACGGCACCAGCGCCGGGGACTCGCTGGTGTTCCACTTCTCCGGCCACGGCGTGCAGAAGCTGGACAGGGACGGCGACGAGGCGGACGGGTACGACGAGGCGCTGTGCCCCGTGGACTTCGAGGACACGCGCGGCGGCGGCGTCATCCTGGACGACGAGATCAACGCCGCCATCGTGCGGCCGCTGGGCAAGGGCGTGAAGCTGCACGCCATCGTGGACACCTGCCACAGCGGCACCATCCTCGACCTCCCCTACCTCTGCCGCCTGTCCAGGACCGGGTACTGGCAGTGGGAGAACCAGCAGACCCGCCTCTCCTCCGGCGAGACCAAGTGCACCAGCGGCGGCCTCGCCATCTCCATCAGCGGCTGCGGCGACAGCCAAACGTCGCAGGACACCACGGTCAGTACTGAGAGTCTGAGACCCGAAAGCTCACTGCTTGCATGGACAAGAAACGCCACCACAGCGCTCAAAAACACTACTAGCCTTGCTCAAATGTTCTTGTCCGATCCGTCCACTGTAAGTGCAGGCGTTCTCGGGGTCTGCCTCCACCGGCGCCATGACGTACAGCTTCATCAAGGCGGTGGAGTCGGAGCCGGGCACCACCTACGGCCGCCTGCTGACGGCGATGAGGGCCACCATCCGCGACAACGGCGGGGAGTTCGGCATACCGGGGCCCATCGGCACCTTCTTCCGCCGGGTCATCACATTCAGCTGCGCGCAGGTACAAATTACTCTGAAACGAAAACGTGCATTATATTGCTGCTCTGGACTCCGGTGCCTGCTTGATCGTACATTGGATTTTGGTTTCGCAGGAGCCCCAGCTGTGCGCTTCAGAAACATTCGACATCTACAGGAAACCCTTTCTCTTGTGACTCCTTTCCTTTAAATTTGCGAGATTAGCTCTGCACGCACGTTATACATACGAACACGGTTCCTAGGTGTGTTCTTTTGTCTCCTTTATACAAGTACAGTTATATACTTGCAAGTGATGTGCTCTGTTAACCAGCGGCGTGAAGGAGCTAGAAGGCGTGCAGGATTTTGATCTCTTTGAGTAGAAACTCTACATATATAGTGGAAAGTGGAACTGAGATGTTGGCAACGCCATGTCGGGAACCACAGCTTCTTGCAGGCACACAGGAAATTAGTTATGCTCACACAGTGAGATAGAGGCGGTTCTTTTGACTGAAATTTTATTGATGAAAAAATTGATGATGATATATGCTGATTCATAAGTGTTGTTGAGAAATTGTCCCATTGATCAGTGCATACACACAAAGCAAATGTTAACACAAAGAAATATGAGGAACATGGAGCTCTTTATTTCGTCTTCTCAATGTGTAAAACATAATACATCGAATTGGTTTACCGGGCTCTCCCTTGCACTTTTTTTAGCCAGGGGAGGCAGCCAGCGAGAAGTTGTCTAGAGGTTTCTCTATTTACTTTGGTTGTGTTTAGTTCAGCTCCTGGAAAGTGATTCTGCTGTCAAAAGGTAGAACACCAAGTAAACGGGTACAATCAGAAGCTGCTTTTCCAAAAGCAGCTGTTTTCAATTAGTATAGTTTTAGGAGTATCTTAGACCTTGCTTTTGCCTTTCAGCTTTCTGCTTTTCCTGAAAATAGATAAACATTTACAACTGTTTCAAGGGAGATAAAAGAGAGGGGATATGTCTCATAGTTGTTTTAACCAAACAACTTACTCTTTTTCACAACACATATCTCACAACAGCTTTTTCACGTCTCATAGCTGAACTAAGCAGACCCATTATCTGTCTCCCACATGCTCCGATATACACGTGTGATTCACCCATAATTAAGTATTTCACAAGTGTAAATTATTCTTTCTTTTCTTAAGCACAAATCTTCCGCCCGTCCCATATCTCTCAACATCTAACGCGACATGCATCACAAATGCCCAACCATTCCTTCACTTCTTTCTTAGGGTAATTAATCTGGCATATGCACAAAGAAGTTATTGTATGCTAGAACTTGGACAGAGGGCCCCCGAGTACCATGGGCCTAGTTAAGTGGGCTAAGGTAATCATGAACCATTCAACATCAAAAGGACAACCTCAAATGATATATGTAGTGTTCCTACAAGGAATGATAAGGACTAAATTGAATCTATTTCTTTGAGGGCAACTATGGTAGGCGATTGTTGACCTGAACCTCTCATGATAAGTGTGGCAAAGCACAGAGTTACAAAAAGTAGGAGTACCCCAACGGGACACAACAAAGGAGCAAAGAACATATTACACAAGTAGAAGATACCACCGGGCACAACAAAGAAACACGTGGAACACAACTCACATACAGATACAAATGAAGAGACAAGCCAATAAGGCATGACATGACCCATAAAACGACCATTGTTCGTTTAAGAGCGCCACCACCAAACAACATATACTCATCGGCACACCATGGCCATTGTGCATCCACGACACCCCTTGTAGCTATGTCGATCTATCACTTCCCTCCATCCGAGGGATCACCCAACGAAAACAGGATTGAAGGTGGTGGGAGCGGCAAACCGGGGCATACTAGACATACTATCTCCCTTAAAGTTGATGGAAACACCTTTCCCAGTACATTTGAGCTGAATATACTTCCATCCAACATCGCACAAGGAGAGGAAGTCTTGAAGCGGAATGGTGGAAGAGGTGAATATCCTTGTAAAAAAATGGACCCTAGCAAGGGTTTAGTGATTTTTGTGGTTGACAATATAACCATTAGTACTAACAATGTTTTCTCGTATACATGTGAAAGGTCCTAATATGACTAGAGGGAGTGAATAACCTATTTAAAAATCTACAAACCAACTAGAGCAATTTGATTAGTAAGACAAATAGCGAAAATCAAACTTGCTCTAGGTCTACAAGGGTTGCAAGCCACCTATCCAATAATTTTAGTTGTTATGATCACTAGGCACACAATCTACTAGGTCACTACTCACTAAGAGCTCCCACAATTGCTACACTAAAGAGCTCCACTAGATGAATTTAATCTACAAAGCAAGCTCTCAATTCTAGCTACACTAAAGAGCTTGCTATAGCTAGTTTGCGGGAATGTAAATGAGTAAGTGAGGTGATTATACCGCCGCGTAGAGGAGTGAACTAATCATAAGATGAATACTTAATCAATCACCGGGAGAATACCAAAGGACAAGAGACAACTAATTTTCTCCCGATGTTCACGTGCTTGCCAACACGCTACGTCCCTGTTGTGTCGACCAACACTTGGTGGTTCGGCAGCTAAGAGGTGTTGCACGAACCTCGTCCACATAATTGGACACCACAAGAACCTACCCACAAGTGAGGTAACTCAATGACACGAGCAATCCACTAGGGTTACCTTTTGGCGCTCCGCCGAGGAAGGTACAAGTCCCCTCACAATCACCGGAGATGGCCACGAACAATCACCAACTCGTGCCAACCCTCCTCCGCTGCTCCAAGCTGTCTAGGTGGTGGCAACCACCAAGAGCAACAAGCAAATCCTGCAGCGAAACACAAACACCAAGTGCCTCTAGATGCAATCACTCAAGCAACGCACTTGGATTCTCTCCCAATCTCACAAAGATGATGAATCAATGATGGAGATGAGTGAGAGGGCTTTGGCTAAGCTCACAAGATTGCTATGTCAATGCAAATGGCCAATAGAGTGAGCTTGATCCGGCCATGGGGCTTAAATAGAAGCCCCCACGAAATAGAGCCGTTGACTCCTCAGTCCACTGAAAAACGGGGCGACCGGACGCAGGACTCCAGCGTCCGGTTGCGCGATGCACGCCACGTGACCCCTGCTTTAAATGCTGATCGCCCGATCTCAATGGTCATCGGTGCACTTAAGTTGTGACCGGACGCGCTGCTCGAAGTGACCGGACGTGGGACCTCAGCGTCCCGTCGTTTCCAGTAAGGTTCCATTCGCGACTGGACACGTCCGGTTGATTACGACCGACGCAGGACCCCAGTGTCCGGTCACTTCCAGTAAGCTTCCAGAGGTGGAAATTCACGACCGGACGCGTCCGATCATGCCTGACCGGACTCGCCCAGTGTCCGGTCACTGACGGTCTTCTCTGTGTGCTGCCACGTCAGAGGGACCGGACGCAGCCAGCCAGCGTCCGGTCACGAAGTGACCCAGCGTCCGGTCAAAGACTGATGCCAGCGTCTTCACTGCTTCCACTGACCGGACGCTCCAGTCTAGTTGAGACTAGCGTCCGGTGCACTCTGTGAAACCCTGTCTTTTCTGTACAGGGCGCCGGTGGCACCGTCAAACTGTCCGCACTCTACGGGTGGACACTCCGCCGATAAAGTTTCTTACCCTTGCTCCCAAGTGCTAAACACAATGTGTATCACTTTTGTGCATGTGTGTTAGCATATTTTCACAAACATTTTTAAGGGTGTTAGCACTCCACTAGATCCTAAATGCATATGCAATGAGTTAGAGCATCTAGTGGCACTTTGATAACCGCATTTTAATACGAGTTTCACCCCTCTTAATGGTACGGCTATCGATCCTAAATGTGATCACACTCACTAAGTGTCTAGATCACTAGAACGAAAAACTCCTATCAAGTTTCACCTTTGCCTTGAGCTTTTGTTTTTTTTCTCCCTTTTCCAAGTTCAAGCATTTGATCATCACCATGCCATCACGCTACTTATCTCATAATCACTTTGATAAACTAGGTTAAAACTTAGGGTTTCACCAATTCACCAAAACCAAACTAAAGCTTTCAACATATTGATAGACAATAGAACCATTAGGACTAGCAACATTTTTTAGTATACAAGGTACTTAGTACTACTATTGATGCAAGAGATGGACTTGAGCTAGGATAAGGTAGAGATCAAGCAATCAATAACTCAAATGAGAATCAAATAGGTGCTTTGAATACTCAAGAAGATAAGAAAGAAGCTCAGGACATCATACAAGTGAAACCTGAAAAAATGGATGCGTAGAAAGAACACTCAAGGAACACAGGAGAGGTGCAATGAGCATCGGGGTTTTTCCGGTGGCATCGGAGGGTTTTTTTTTTTTTTTTTTTTTTTTTGGTGAGGCCTAGTACGAGGCAGTAAGGAAGACGTACAAGACATACTTCCGGTGTGAGCACCGGAGTTTCGTTATAGAGCTAATGCACAGATGGTTGAGAAGTGAAGAGAGCATCAGAGGTCTCTGATGGTGCGCCGGCGATTTCACTGGAGCTTTGAGGTGCATCCGGAGAGGACCCACTCCTCTGGATAGTACATCGGAATTCTAAGGTGGGGTGCAGGACAAGTCACCAAAGTTTAAGTCTAATGTTTGACAACGTCAAGTTAGTGTGCAGGGGAACCGGATTTAAATTTGGTTGTGATTTAAATGTCACCTATCTAACCCAATAGCCAACCTGAAATTTGTGCCTATCAGGGATGGTTTCAGCTGTTTAATAGAGGCACCATGATTTTTTTTATATTTATATTTATTTAGGGATGGAGGACGGAGGACGGAGGACGGAGGACGGAGGAGTAGCTGCAAAGATTGTCAGCAGCACAATGCAAAGATTGTTGAAGACACACAAAACAGGAAAAATTAGCCTGATAGGTTTGGGAACCGGCCCGGCAGGTTTGTCGCAGAGAAACTAGCCTGGCCGGTTTAGGCAAATATTTTCTATGATGCCAGGAACATATTAGCATTGTCCAATTTCTATATTGGCACATTTTTTATGTCAACAAAGCTCGTACAGCGCACAAAACAGTATGGCACGAATCACATTCTGTGTTAACCACAGATCGAAGAAAGCAGCTGGCAGATGACGGCCCACAGTTTAATTTGTTCGGTCCTTGGAATAAAGGAACCGTTGCTTCACTTACAAGCTATAGTGCACAACGGGCGCGTATGACTTGCTCTACGCACACCTGGCATCTAGAACAACACTGTGCGTACGTGTTAAAGACGGGGACGGCGGGAGCTTCTTCCTCATGGGCAACACGAGGCCGGTGGGCATGGCGAGCGGGAAGGCGGTGGCGACGTCGTGGTGCAGCCACTGCGGCATGGGCCTCGCGGCGCCGCCGCCGCCAGGGTCCGCCTCTAGCGTCCGGTGCGCGTTCTGCCACGGGGTGACGCGCATCGAGCACCACCACCACCACCACCAGCGCGGCGGCGCCGTGGGCGAGAGCGCCACGACGACGAGGACGCTCGCGGCGGCAGCCTCGCTGCCGCGGCCGCCGCCGGTCCCCGCGGGGCTCATCGACATCCCGGCGGGCTACCCCAGGAGGGTGAGCGGCGGCGGGAGCAAGCGGGCACTCCTGGTCGGGGTCAGCTACACGGGCACCAAGCATGAGCTCCGGGGCACGGTCAACGACGTCAAGGAGATGAGGAGCCTCCTCTGCGACAGGTTCGGGTTCCCGAGCGCCTGCATCCTGGAGCTCACTGGTAAAGTAAACCAATGAACTTGCTTGGATTGGATCGTCGTTCATCAAGAGCCACCGCCGCAGATTGATGGATTTCTTGCATGTGTGGCGACTGGCGACAGAGAAGGAGAGTGACCCCACCAGGGTGCCGACGAGGGAAAACCTGCTGCGGGCGATGCGGTGGCTCGTGGAGGGCTCCCGCAGCGGCGACTCGCTGGTGTTCCACTTCTCCGGCCACGGCGTGCAGAAGCTGGACATGAACGACGACGAGGTGGACGGGTACAACGAGGCGCTGTGCCCCATGGACTTCGAGCGGAGCGGCAAGATCCTGGACGACGAGATCAACGAGATCATCGTGCGGCCGCTGGGCAAGGGCGTGAAGCTGCACGCCATCGTGGACACCTGCCACAGCGGCACCATCCTCGACCTCCCCTACCTCTGCCGCATGTCCAGGTATGTAGGTACCATGCAGTTGCTTGCAGGCTCTGCATTTCAGCTGTAGATGTTCAGAACATATCTATCAGAAAATGACGCATTGCTGATCGATCTGCATTTCAAGAACTGGGTACTGGCAGTGGGAGAATCACTCCCGCCCTTCGGGCATGACGAAGCGGCCCAACGGAGGCCTGGCCATCTCCATCAGCGGCTGCAGCGACGACCAGAAGTCCGCCGACGCCAGCGTATGTCCAGCTCCCAACCAAAACTCCGTCCTCTGCTGTCGAAACAGTTCTGATGAGATGCAGGTTCAGATGTTGCATGCGCTGATCATGGATATGAACATGATGCATTGAAAACAGGGATTTTCTGATGAGTCGTCTTCGATCGGCGCCATGACGGACAGCTTCATCAAGGCCGTGGAGGCCGAGCCGGGGACGACGTACGGGCGGCTGCTGAGCGCGATGAGGACGAGGATCCGCGACGGCCAGGGGAGCCGCCGTCTCCCCGGCAGGCTCGGCTCCTTCGTCCGCTGGATGATCCCGTCCAGCGGTGTGCAGGTGATCTTCTTCATCTCGACACGGCGTGATTGTTGGACCGCCACTCCCTCACTCACTCTCGGCTGCATGTATATACGCAGGAGCCTCAGCTTTGTTCTTCAGAGATGTTTGACATCTACAGGAAGCCATTCCTGCTCTGATTTGGTCGTCTCGTCGGCTGCTAGCTAATTCGTAACTTGATCTGAATGTCATTGTTGTGCTGTACCCGGTGTGTCCGTGTGTAACTCGATCCGTCAGTTCAAGCCTGTGCATATCTGGCATGTGAGTATATTTTACACGTGAATCAAGTCGTGCCACGCGCCAAACACACCAGCATCTTTTGCGTAGCGCACAGCAACAGGTGTCGGATACGCTAAGACTCAGGTTATTTCGACCAAAATCTGCCTGCCGGCGCCGCCACCGATGGCTTGACATGGCATGCCTTCATATTCAGTATTCGCCCAGCTGTAAGCCAAGAGTCCAAAGAGATGCATACTTGCTACTCAAACAACACTAGCAAATCTTTAGTCTTCAATTTGATCGCTTGCTAATGCTCTCTACCACTCCAGGAACCTCTGAGATAAGTATATGCACTCGCCTGGTCTACGAGAGCTCACAAAGAGCTATAGAACACACATAGGGCCTATTTGCTGACGTGGGTCTTTACCAAAGGAGCTGCAGGAGCCACGAAATAGAGGCTTCACCTCTGCAGTTCATCATTATATTGTTCAAAAACAGTTTCTTCTCCGAGGAGCTTCACTTGAGGTGATCAAGAGTTTTAATTATAACAATCTATCATATAATCAATCTTGTTTGGACCAATACTTGATTATATAATCCGATTATTATAATTAGATGGTTATCAAACAGGACCTAACTGAGGAAGAAAAACTCGGTGCATCAACGGCCATACGAAGTTGGGCGTGATTAGTTGGTTGTTTTAGCCCAACCAGGCCCACCGTATGCAGGTAGCGGACGTTTGGTTGGCTGAATTAAGCAGCAAGCCTGGGCGACATGATGCAAAACAGCTGCGCAGTGTAAAGCGTGCGCGGTCCACCGAGCTTGGATGGGGCCGCGCAGAGGGCCGTGGGGGACGTCGGCTGCACCTGGAAACGAGAGACAAGCGTTGGTGGACAAGAAACGAGAGACAAGCAACGGGAGATGCAAGAGAGCGATGGGATGAGGATAAGATTATAATAAGAACCACTTCAAAGGATAAGAAAGCGGTGAATTTTGCATTGACTTTAGTCCACGCACCGTGGGCCTGTTGACAAGATAAGAGAGCTAGAGATCAGAATCAGATATTGCATACAATCATTTTTTATTCTTATCCATCGGGTGCCTGATTATTTTAGTCATTTCAAGCGACATAGCAACCTGCAGTGGCGAGTGGAAACCCGGTTCCTTGCCTCTTTTGTTTATCATCACATCATCCGTCCTCTTGTGATTTATTAATTGTTTTTTAACATAACATATTAATATTTTGTCTTTGTCTAACTATAGAAATAAATTATTAATTGTTAATTATTTTTGTGCTAACACAAATTAAATTTTGTTGGGTTTGTGGTTTTGTTTATTCTCGGGTCCAAAAATTGCACATTATATCTATAACTAAAATTGTAATTTTAACATAAAATTTATGTAATAACCATTGCATGAAAGGAAGTTAAAATTCAGACACCTGAATTTTAGCAAATCCCTATTTTCCTTTTATTGTTTCTATATGCTAACATGATTCCCATGTTGGGATTCCTATATTCCAAACGTCACATGCTATTCGTTTAATGTGTTTTTCCGATTCTATGTTTTGGCTCCACCTTCACATCATATTTTTGTGTTTTTTTCTCTATTTCTCTGTTTTCCCAAGCAAGACTTGTCTGGTTTTGGAGCACAGTTGTGCCCCTCGGGCATGAAATATCCAAAACCGAGTAGAGAGTAGACACTGTTATTTGGCTATTTCGTCGCAAGGTTTGTTGTCTGGAGACTAAACAAACCTCCAGCTCTGTTATCAGAAAGTGAAACAGTCGAACTGGAGCTGGCGCGGGAGACCCTGCCATGTCATCGGTCAACGCCCTCGGTCGTCGTCACGTCAACCCTCTCGCCGCGGCACCATGCATGGTGCGGCACAAGCGTTTCGCCGCGCCAGGGAAATATGCGTGGCCAAAAGTGTTAATTTTGAAAAAAAAAAAACAATGTTAGATTTAAAATTAGTTTACAAAAGTGTTAAAAAAATTATTGGTGGACACCCGTCCTTCGACGACGGCTGCTCAGCGGATGACGGGCTCGCCTCTGTTGTCGCCAGAGCAGGGGCTCCCACAGCTCACGCCGCCATGGGTGGGACAGCCCGGCGTCGCAGATGGGAGCACGGCGGGCACGCCCACCCCCAGCGACGCTACGTCCACGCCGTGTGAGGCTGCTCGGCGTCTCGCATGGTTCACCGAGAAAGTGCAGCTCAAGCGACAGTCGCCGTTAATCGCCAGTCCACCAAGGCAGAAGGAGGCAACTACAAGGCAACCCCTGCCAGGCAGAGACGACGGATTGCCGCTCAGCCGTTGGCGCATATACCAACCTCCAAGCGGGACGAGATACTCCTCATGCAGAAGATGAGCATCGCACCGCCGGCAGCTCCAGTCTCATCTACGTGCAAGGGAACGTACGATGCCCTATTCACGGGGAACTTGACGCTAAGCCACGTGGCAGCTCTAGATGAGTTGTTCCCAACGACCAACAACAGGTCTGGTAGAAGAGCGCTCTTCTCGGATGGCGGAGAAGGTCGCGCGCAACCGCCACCACCGCCACCGGAGACACCTCCGGACAAGCACCACTCGGCAAAGCCCCCAAACACTCGGCAAACCCGAGGAAGTTACACTTTAAAACGACATTCGGCAACCGGTTTTATCGGCAACGCCGGCCTCCCGTTTTGCGCCACCATGTTTTTGAGAGAGAAGGACACTGGGAGGGAGACTTTGCACCACCGGATGCCCAAAAACACTCCGCAAACAATTTTTGAAAAAATAAGCATCACCACGCGGAGGAAGAGAGAGGCCGCCGAGAGCGCCACGCCATGGATCCGCCACCCGCAGCCACCACCTTCCACCACCACCGCCCACCCCGCCCACCTCGCCATGGATCTGGGAGGGAGGGAGGGAGGACCTCCGCCACGATCCACGAGGGGAGGCCACGGAGGGGAGAGAGAAGAGGGCGCCGCCAGAGGAAGAAAGGGCACACACGCCGGATCCGACCACCCTGGGGTCCGGAGGAGAGAGAAGGGGTGGGACGGGAGGCCACCACCGCCACCGGATAGATTAAGCCTCCCGTTTTTGCGAGATGGGACACCACCGAGAGGAGAGAGAAGAGAGGTGCCCTACTTTTTTTTTGAGGTTTTTATCTCGAGCACTCGATCCGCCTTCTCCTTCTTTTCCGCCAAAGATCCGCCTCCCTTTGCCGAGTGCCGCCACCGGATCTGTCGAGCCTCCCGTGCCACACCGGTACCGGATCCGCCTCCCGTGTCGCGCCACCATCGGAGGGAGAGAGAAGAGAACTTATTACGCAGGTCCGAGGAATACACTCGAAATATAACCACCGGATCCGCCTCCCGTGCCACGCCGCCGCCGGATCCGCCTGCCTCCCTGTAATATCAAGTTTGAAATAGTCTGCTAGGAAGGTTTAGCCAGCAGTCTGGCCTCCGCACATCAAAAGCCGTTTATATGGTTAAACTCTTCACCGGGAGGGAGAGAGGGGAAGAAAAAAAAGAGAACGAGAGAGATAAGCCACGCCATGGATCCGTGAAACGACAAAGTGAGCAACCAAACGCATTGGACAGTCACCAAAACAAAACCGCATTGGACTTGCATGTGCTCAGCCTTGGGGCCCTCCTGCGATCTCTGAGAGCCCGAGACCGTTGCCGAACCAATCGCGGGGGTGCAGGGAGGACAAGGGCACAGGCAGCTCAGTACTTGTCCCACATTCTTTTTTTTTTTATCCCGCAAGAGGCAGGCTCTACGGGCTACTTGTCTCACATTCTTGGCAGCCCAATAACAGTCCAGAAAGAAGGGAGGCGACGGGTCAGAAGGAGCGGCCGGGAGAGGAGGGCAGAGGCACTTGGCAGGGCGCCAAAATCCATCCCCGCCATCGCATATACCATTTCATCTCGATTTGCATCTGAGAGAAGGGAGCACGGGGCGTTGGGAGAGAGGGCAGATAAGGGCGTCCATGGTCAGGGACCGGGGCGTGGGTCGGGTCTGCTAGGGCTTCCTCCACCAGATTAAGTAGGTATTTTTTTTGTTTGTCCGAGATGGGGCACTATGGATGAAAACGGTAAAGTTTTTTTTTAATTTTTATCTTTACTCCTACTTTTTTTTGCACGTAATAAAACGGATTTTATCGGATATCAAATATGGAGCACTATCCGACGGATAAGTTTTTTTATTATCCTTCTTTATTCAAACGACCTTGGATGGAAAAAGATTTTTATTTCTTTGCCTTTGTTGTTTATATTTTTTTGAACACTTAGCAAAATTTAAACGAGTGTTTTAGTTTTTACACTTTGAACCATCCAAACTATCTCAAATTGAAAGTTGACCAAAACAACAATTGTGTTTTTTTTTTGGTATTCAAAGTGTTTTTGAAGCGCGAGTTCATAATACTAGGTAAAGAACTTTTTCATTTGACCAAATTTGTGTCAAACTTGGGAATACACTAAATGACCTCAGATGAAAATATAAAAAGTTTGACTCTCAGACAAATTTGAGGATTTTGGTATTTGAGAAAGATCAAACACTCACCAAAATTCTTGAATCTCATATAGACTTTACGTTGTAAAATTTGAACTATATTTTGTTCACACTTTCTCAAATGAAAAATGTCATATATATAAGGATTGTAGATCTTGATGATCTGAACAAACTTGGTATTCAAAACTTTTCAATTTGAAACAATCTAGGTTGTTTTACCATTTATGTAAACTATCGAAGTTTGAAAAAACAACAATTGTAGATATTGCTGAGAAGGTTTAGCCATAGAAATCATTTAGAGTGAGACCTCATAGGGCAAACTTGCTCACATCAGAAGTGTGTCGTTTATATGGTTAAACTCTTCTTCTTAATTATAATGAATATGTAAATCTTTTGCGTATTCGAAGAAAAAAAAAAGAGAACGGCGA